TTTTCTGCCCCAGCCTGCCCCAAGTCAGCCTCTGCTGAAACTGACCAGCGCTGACTACAGGAAGCCCGAGGCAGAGTTGCTCTGCCCCGTGCTTCCTGGAATCAGCTGCTGATCAGTTTCAGCAGCAGCTGACTTGGGGACACCTGGGGTTCTTAAGTTGATTCTGTATGTAAGTCAGAACTGGCAGTCAGTTTCAGCAGCGGCTGAATCTGGAGGCCAGTTCCTACTTACATACAGATTGAACTTAAGAACAAACCTACAGTCCCTATCTTGTACGTACTCCGGGGATTGCCTGTACACAAAAAGGCACGTGAAGAAAGAGACTGACACCAAGGTATTTACCAGTACCTTAGGGAGTCCAAGGGGGTAAGACTTAGAGCTATGTCAATAACTAATTTTTTTGGCTCAGTGGCTGAACCTTACATTGTTTTAAAAAAGCTTTGGGCCATCACTAAACAAACATTTGTTGGCAGAACAAAATAGTAAAAAAGAAAATAGTGTTTCAGATCAAATTAAACGTGTTCAACCCAAAACAAAATACTTTGTTTTATATACAAGGGTTTTTTTCAACCTTTTAAATGAAACAAGCACAATTCAAAACAAGAAGCCATTTCAAATAAAAACTGGAAATGATCAATTTTTAAAATGCCAAAAAATGAAACATTTTTACTTTTTTCAGAATATCTTTTCCTGAACCAATTTTGTGGACTGGGAGTGAATTTGTGCTGATTCAGCCAAACCAATTACTCATTTTTTCTGGGGGAAACCAAATTTCGTCCAGGAAGCTTTGTTCAGTGCCAGTGGGGGCTGGTGGTTGTTTTAGCTGGTTATGACAATGTGAAATGTGAGCCATGCTCAATAGTCAGAGAAAATATCTAGAGTAGGATGCTTGCCTTGACCAGTTGTAACATTTCACATTCCAGGCAACCGTGATTGGGATGTGTGTTCCATCTTTGCCATTTTTGTGTTTATGCAAATATAGTGCTGGTGAAAGGTGTGGCACTGAGATCCATCAAGACTGAAGTAATGTGTCCGTATACAGACCAAACAACACTGGCAGCCCCTCCTTGTCATGCCAGTCTGCCTCATGCTTGACCTGCAGGAACCAGCTTGCCCAGGATGAGAAGGTAGTTCAGTCCCCATGCTCATTCTGTCCTTTGGCTTCTCCGCTGAGGATGCCTACTGCCTTGCTAACTACCGTCTGTTGCAGTGGTGGAGTTAGTTTGTGCAACACACATTTATTGGGAAATGGTCTGAGAGCATTAATATTACTGTCTGTTAAGACAATACCCACAAAGGCTGCATCTAGACTGGCATGATTTTGCGCAAAGTTTTTCCGTTAAAAGTATTTGCACAAGAGAGCGTCTATACTGGCATGTGCCTTTGTGCAAAAGATTTGCTTTTGTGCAAAAGCATCTGTGCCAGTGTAGATGCTCTCTTGCGCAAGAAAGCTCTGATGGCCATTTTAGCCATCGGGCTTTCTTGTGCAAGAAATTAACGTGGCTGTCTACACTGGCCCCTTGCCCAAGAACACTTGTGCAAGAGGATTTATCCCTGAGCAGGAGCGTCGGAGTATTTGCGTAAGAACCACTGATTTTGTACATTACAAAGTCAGTGTTCTTGCACAAATACTCGCGGCCAGTGTAGACAGGCGGCAAGATTTTGTGCAAAAGCAGCTGCTTTTGCACAAAATCATGCCAGTCTAGATGCAGCCAAAGTGTGCTGATTTCTAGTTCTACACTGAACTATAACAATCTCCCAAGGGCAGGTAGATAACTCCTCTTTGGCTCAAAGACACATCTTTCTGGTATGTGTTTAAGGCCTAGGACAACAGGTACTGATCCCAGATCCCTGAGCACTATGGCAGTTCAAATAATTTCAATACCTGGGTCAGAAATAGCAAGATGAAAACTTGCTTCTTCCCCCCCATATTTAATGTCCCCTGAAATTTCTATGATCCAGTTCAGTTCATCTGAATGAGCTTCATAAAGATCAACTAACAATAAAAGTTGCTCTAAGCTATCAAATCAGTGGGGGTTATGGTGTTGTCGCCTTACTTTTCGTTCCAGCTGTGGGTGTGACTGTGATCTTCATTGTAGTAACTGCAAAATATTAAGCAGCATTTAGGTCATGAAAGAATTCTATGTCATGCTAGGCTGGTGGCGAGAAAAGAGGATTATAATGGTCCCCTTTGGTTGTAATATTTATGAATGTACTTTAAAGATCATTGTATTAGAAAACTTAATGTTAAAAGAGGGTTAGCTTTTCAAGGCACAAAGTGCATTGGAGTCAAGAAGTGCAGGGCAATTAACTCCCCTTTGGACTTTTGAAATTACAGCTAAATATAACATGTGAAAACTTAAAAATATTCACTGAAAACGGCTCTTTGCCATGATTGTAAGATTCTCCAGCAGAGGCTGCGAATCCCAGCAGTGCACTATGCTGCTAGACAGGGCCAGAAAATGGCAGTGACCTGTCTCATGTCACTGCTCAAATTCTATGAAAGGCAAAAACTAAATAGTGTGAAACTGGTGAAATGTACAAGTGTTCAGCTTTAACACTTGTCATTTCAATGAGATGTGTAACTTGACTCACTGTTCCAAAAATCCTCCCCAAGCCATTTTTCTCCCAGGAAAGAGGATTTTAAAAATTAATTCAAAGCAGGTGAACCATAATATTATGATAGCAATCCCTTCAAATGCTACTGAGTTACCAAGTGCCTTGCTATTGTCACCCATATGCAGGTTTATTCTCACCACTGTAGTCCAGACGGTGACACCATATGGTCGGGCTCTAAGAGTCACTTGCCTTTTAGTGTGGGATCCATGAAGGAAGCAGAGATACCTTCGTGATCTCTTGCGATAACTGGACAGGAAAGCAGAAGCACTATGACAGTAAACCAAACTATGTCCCATGGCTTTCATCTGAGCTTCTCAAAGAACACCCAACCATTGTCATCACCTCCTTTCGCAGAGGAGGAACTAAGGTACAGAGATGCTATGGTGATGATCCTCAAAGGGACTTAGGCATTTGCTCCACTCAGTGCTGTGATGTCTAAACCCCAGGAGACCTGCCCTCTAGAGAAATCTTCAGCCCTGGGTCAGGTGCCCAGACTCTCCATAAAATGCATGGGTGAGTCATGACCTAAGAAAGGGAGCCTCAGGACGCCATTACCCGAGCAGGCAGCCACCTAAGCTAGTCAGGATGAAATAACAGGGAGAGGGGCTTAGGCACCTATGCAGCTGAGCTGGTGCACTCAGTAGATGGATCCAAGTTAGGATCCTTGGCCTGATCTCTTTCCTGAAGTGAGGCTCCTAAGCCAAGACAGCTGCTTGGGTATCTCCGGTCCAAGCTGAAACCATATTTTCTCAGTCTCCTGCTCACTCACATTCCAGCCCCCTCTCACATTCACCCATTTCCCTGGGGGCTGCCTTTTGTGTGGCTGCTCTGCTGCCCCTCACCGCCTGTCAGTGGGCTGCATCCGGCCCTCCTGCTGATGGGTCTGACAGGTCTCAGGTCTTAGGCATGCTCAGAGCATGGCTACCGGGTCAGGCCATGCAGGCAACATTTCCTTGCCTTCTTTGAACAGCCCACTGCAGAGCCCATGGCTAGAGCCCTGCAAATCTGCAGCTATTCACTTTATCTCCGCAGGTGTCTGCATCCATGGATGTCAGTGTGGATATCCACGGCTCATTTATGGATACGGATGCAGACACACATTTTGTATCTGCACAGGGCTGTAGCTATGGCTTGAGCGTGGGCTCTCAACGGCTCACTGGTGGCGGGGC